ATTAGCTGGCTATCTCAGAGATGCTACTCCCAGAGCGGAGCCAGCTCAACTTCCGGTTCCGGAGCCAGACCCGCCTCAAAGGTCAGAACCTGTTCCGTCATTTCCTGAATTCCGTCCGTCACTTCCTGAAAGATTCTCTGGTTTAACTAATAAATGTAAAGGGTTTCTATTCCAATGCAAGTTAATTTTTGAACACTCGCCGTCCAGTTTTTCTAATGACAAGAGGAAGATAGGTTTCATCCTTTCTCAAATGACCGGAAGAGCCCTTGAATGGGCCGAAGCCAGATTTCCCACAGTGTGTAGTAGAACTTGCACCTTCGATGAACTTATTAAGGAATTTTCACAAGTCTTCAATCAAGACTCAGACAAATCGATTGATTCCAGAGCCCTGTTAAATCTACATCAAGGAAATAAAACTGTAGCCGAGTTTTCGATTGACATCCGGGTTAAGGTTGCTGCTTCCGGGTGGAATGAATGTGCTTTGAAAAGCGCATACTTCAAGGCTCTAAACGAAGAAATAAAGGATGAACTAGCCACCATTGACGAACCAGCTACCCTGGAGGAATTAATCAGCCTTACAATTCATTTGGACAATAGACTCCAAGCCAGAACAAGAGCTAAAGTAAGGAGCCATGTCTATTCTGTACCTGCCTCATCTTTCAGTGCTTCTGTTTCTCCTGTGTCACCTGAAGTCGACCCCAGACCTAGGAGTCGTAATCAACCTGTCTCTGTTCCTGCCTCTTTGACTCATGGCGTCTCTCCCTCCACAGAAACCTCTGATGTAGAGCCTATGCAGATCGGTCATACCAGACTCACGACCGAGGAAAGGCAAAGGAGATTCAAGGGGAATCTATGTATGTACTGTGGTGAGCCCGGCCATTTTGTCTCCACCTGCCCAGCTAAGGTAAAAGCCGGGGTCCGTCAGAGGATATGAGGAGCCTGGCGGACCATCTACAATCTGAAAGATCTCCTCATCGGTTACTTCCTGCCACTTTATTCACTTCTGACCAAACCATCACTTTGTCCGCATTCATAGATTCCGGTTGTGAAAAGAATCTTATAGACTCTAAACTGGTTAAACAATTAAACGTTGAAACCATTCCCTTGAAGAAACCTCTTAGAGTTTCAGCCATTGATGGAAAGAAGCTGCATCAAGTCACACATCAAACTCAGACTCTTGAATTTCTAATCTCTGGAAACCACAGAGAGACCATATCTTTTTTTGTTATGAGTGGTTAGAATTACATTACCCTCACATAAATTGGGCTAAGAGACACATTGAATCCTGGTCTGCCTCCTGCCATGTCTCCTGTCTCCGTTCCGCAGCACCATATATTCAGTCGCCAAGCAATCTAAGGGAGGTTGAGCCACCTGATTTGTCTTCAGTACCCTCTGACTATCATGATCTGGCACCAGTCTTCAGCAAGGTCAGTGCACTCTCTCTCCCTCCTCACAGACCATACAAATGTGCCATTGATCTATTGCCTGGGGCTCCCCTCCCTAGCAGTCGACTTTTCAATATTTCCAAACCTGAAAGAGAAACTATGGAAAAATACATTAATGAGTCCCTAGCTGCCGGGATTATTCGTCCGTCCTCGTCCCCTCTTGGTGCCGGTTTCTTTTTTGTAGGGAAAAAGGATGGATCTCTCCGACCATGTATTGATTACAGGGGACTCAACCAGATAACTATTAAAAACAAGTATCCCTTGCCCCTGTTATCATCTGCATTTGAACCCGAGCAAGGGGCAACTGTGTTTTCTAAGTTGGATCTAAGAAATGCCTATCATCTCCTCAGAATGAGAGAAGGAGATGAGTGGAAGACGGCCTTCAAAACCCCACTAGGCCAATTTTAATACCTGGTTATGCCTTTTGGTTTGAATAAAGCTCCTGCCTGTTTCCAAGCTCTGGTTAACGACGTGTTGAGAGATTTCCTTAACATCTTTGTTTTCGTTTATATTGATGACATCCTGATTTATTCCAAGAATCTGTCTGATCACAAGAAACATGTCCGCTTGGTTCTCCAAAGACTTCTCGAGAACAAGCTTTTCGTCAAAGCCGAAAAATGTGAGTTTCACCAACCTTCTGTCACCTTTCTAGGATTTGTGCTCGAGGGCGGGCAGGTGAAGCCATCAGAGGACAAGATTAAAGCTGTTCTGGACTGGCCTACCCCCGAGAATCACAAGCAACTTCAAAGGTTTCTGAGTTTCGCAAACTTTTACAGAAGATTCATCAGAAACTATAGTCAGACAGCCCAGCCTCTCACTGCTTTAACTTCTGTCAAAAGAGCTTTCCACTGGTCTACTGAAGCCGAATCTGCATTCAATAAACTCAAGGCTCTTTTTTCCAGTGCACCAATCCTGATTTAACCAGACCCCTCTAAGCAGTTCATCTTAGAGGTGGATGCATCTGATTCCGGAGTAGGGGCTGTGTTATCCCAACAATCCGACACTGATCATAAAACTCACCCGTGCGCCTTCTTCTCTCGCAGGCTTTCTCCAGCAGAGCAAAACTACGATGTCGGAGACAGAGAACTTCTGGCGATCAAATTGGCTCTGGAAGAGTGGCGGCACTGGTTGGAGGGCGCAGAACACCCCGTGTTGGTATGGACCGACCATAAAGACCTGTCCTACATTCAGTCTGTCAAGAGGTCCAATCCACGTCAGTCCCGTTGGTCTCTGTTCTTTTCACATTTCAATCTGATCATCTCCTACAGACCTGGATCCAAGAATGTTAAACCTGACTCTCTCTCACGCCTGTACTCACCTGATAAACCTGAAGAACCTGAATCTGTCTTACCTTCCAGCTGCACTGTAGCGGCCGTTTCCTGGGAGATCACTGACCTGATCAACCTTGCCCAAGCTACTGAACCTGACCCAGGAAATGGACCACCCAATCGGACGTATGTACCCTCTTCTGTCAGATCTCGTCTAATTCACTGGATGCATTCTGCCAAGTTTTCAGCCCATCCAGGAATAAGCAGAACCATTTCCCTCATCACTCGCCATTTCTGGTGGCCATCCCTTCATAAGGATGTGAATGAATATGTTTTGGCTTGCCCCATCTGCGCCCGAAACAAAGCATCCCATCAGCCTCCTTCTGGTCTGCTGACCCCTTTACCTATTCCGTCTCGTCCCTGGTCCCACATTGCAGTGGATTTTGTAACCGGCCTCCCCGTTTCCAAGGGTATGACAACAATTCTCACAATTATTGACCGTTTTTTTTCTAAGTCCTGCCATCTTGTCCCCCTCAGGAAACTCCCGACTGCATTTCAAACGGCTCAACTACTCATAAAGCATGTCTTCCAACTCCATGGCATCCCTCGGGAGATCCTGTCCGATAGAGGCCCCCAGTTCACAGCTCAGGTCTGGAAAAACTTCTGCTCTGCCCTTGACACTAAGTCTTCACTCTCCTCAGGTTACCACCCTCAAACAAATGGACAAACAGAAAGGATGAATCAGGAACTGGAAATCCACTCTCCGTTGCCTCACCTCCACCAACCCAACAGATTGGAGTCAATTTCTCCCCTGGATTGAGTATGCTCATAACTCTCACACTTCATCTGCAGAAGACGGGTTGTCTGTCTCCCTTTGAAATCTCCATAGGTTATCAGCCACCTCTGTTTCCCTCCGATGAAAAGGACATATCTGTCCCGTCTGTTCAACACCACATCCGCCGTTACCAGAAGATTTGGAAGGACACCATAGCCGCTCTGAACCGGACATCTGCCCAAAATAAACGCTTCGCTGATCGCAGACGACGCCTAGCTCCCACCTTTTCACCCGGTCAACAGGTTTGGCTTTCCACGCACAATATTCCTTTAAAATCTATGTCCCGCAAACTTTCCCCCAGATTCATCGGTCCGTATAAGATTGCCTCCATCATCAACCCGTCTGCACCTGCCATCTTCACTCCGCATCCATCCTACATTCCATGTGTCACAAATCAAGCCTGTTCTGACTAGCCCTTTGTGCCCTCCGTCCGACTCCCCTCCACCCACCCGGGACATTGATGGTCACCCTGCCTTCACCGTTCGCCGGATCGTGGACTCCCGTCGCCGGAGCTGCGGTTGGCAATACCTGGTCGACTGGGAGGGCTACGGTCCGGAGGACCACACTTGGGTTCCGGGATCCTTCATCCTGGATCCCTCCCTAATCAACGACTACCGTGAGTCTCTGCCATCCACTTCTTCTGGACCGCCAGGAGGCGGTCGTTGAGGGGGGGGTACTGTTGGGATCTGGAGGTCTGTCCACCTTTCTCCAGCAGAGGGCGTCCTAGGTCTCCTGGAGCCGAAGCTGACTTCTACACCTGCAGCTCGTTAACTCATCAGGAGACCAGCATATAAGCAGTGGCAGCGCAGCACTCCAGTGCCAGAGTGTTAAGCCAGTTACGGTTAGCAAGCCTGAGCCAACCAACCTGTCTGATTCTCTAACTCCCTTGATACCTGAACCTGAACCTAACCAGTTTTGTCCTCTCTGCTTCCTAGGAAGAACCAAACTGAATCCTGACACTCTGGAAGAGTTTCACATTAGAACTACCTGTCTGATCTCTGGAGATCCTTGGATGTTCAAACTGTCTGAACCTGCCTGCCCGCTCTCAAGAAGAGAACTGGAGATAACCTCTGATCTGAACACCGAGAAGTCTGAAATCAAGCCCTGCCACTGCCAAGCCCTCTGTTCACCATCTGCCTCTGGACCCTCCTGGTTCCCTGCCTCTACCGCTCAGTCAACAACTGAACAGGTACAGACCTGCATTATCCTTCAAACAACAAAACCTGAGACTCAGCTAACCGAACTGTCCCTCTCTGCAGAGAACCCTGTTCTGACCAGTCCTGGACCAGTCCCTAAATCAGTCTTTATTATTCATTGTGTTTTCAATAAACTGTTAAACTTTTCCTCCATGTCTGAGCGTGTTCTGCATGTGGGTTAGATCCCTTAATCCCAACATCACATGTTGCTTTTTATGCGAAAACAAAATGCTTTGTTGAGTGTGCTAATTGTTACCCAGAATCCTCAATGTCCACACATTTGATGTAGCTGTCATTGGAGAACAACACCACTGTGGCAACCTGGTCAACTGGAAAAAAGAGAAAAGAGATTTAGCTGGGTTGATTTTTACAGTCCAGGAAGTAGGTGTAGTCCAGATCCTTCAGCAACACTAAGAAGGAGTCATTAGGAGTTTTTACCTGAAAGAATGACGTTCTTGATGGTTTTGTTAGAGTTGTTTGTGATGTTGACGTCAACATGGATTGTCTCACCATGATAGTAAAGCTAATTAGGGATTCAAGGGCAAGGAAAATTAGGGTAACAACGTCAGGAAAATTAGATGATAAAGAGAAAATAAAAACAGAGAAGTTATAGTAAATAAATTTATTAGGTGCTTATCAGAAAGTAAAACTTTTCAGAGTCATACTGCTTATATTTGTCTGGTCTAGACATATTATTTCTGGTTTAATTTAGTGTGTAGATTTATAACATGAAACAACAAACCTCTTTATCCAGTGTGGCCTTAACATGCAGCGGTTTGTCAGACATGACAAAGTCCTTGGTGGTTTCAACTGTAGGTGGGACTCCCTGTGAGTCTGGAGCGTACTGTACCTTCCTGAGCATTAGCTTTACTGTGCTCCTGTTGAACAAACAGATGCGGAGGTTTAACAGTTTCCTACTGACAACTCTGTCTGACATCAGGACAGCTGAGACTCACCGTTTGCGCACTTTTGCATCCTGGCTCTCAGCACTGAATGCCTTAATCTCGAACTCCACTGCACATTGCTGCAACGGAGGAAGGAAGGGACATTTACCGTCCAATTACCTGTATTAATGCATCGCCTCTACTCTGATCCCTGAAGTTAACATTATCAGGAACCACAAAAAATAAAAATCTTACAGGAACATTTTTTGGAAGAAGTTGAAAGGAGTTAAAACAGTAACCAGTAACCAGTAACTAACGGTCCTAGTTTTAGCTTTTGAACAAAGAGGGCCACCATAAAGTGAACTTAGTGATTGGGATGGATGGATGGATGGATGGATGGATGGATGGATGGATGGATGGATGGATGGATGGATGGATGGATGGATGGATGGATGGATGGATGGGACATCTATACCGTAAACCCTCTAATATAGAATATTTCACTCAGGTACATCTTGGTCCCGGCCATTATTGGAAGGAGGCCAGAATTAGAGGCAGGCCTCTATTTCTATTTGATCAAAACAGACTATGGGTGGAATGAATAAAAACAAGATTTTGTGTCTCTCATTTATCGAAAAAGTACAGTTACCATAACGGTATACAGAACATTATTCAGACATCTTCCAGCAGCTGCAATTTTTCTGCATGGCAATACGAAAAAAAAAAAGACACAGAATGAATTCTTGGCCAGACAAAGTTTTAGAAAAAATCAAGGGAAACTGTTCTACCATCACATCGAAATTTTGTTTGAGGAAGGCTAAGTGGAAGTAGGCTACCAGTATCATATATTTCAAGGGAAATTTAGAACAATGAAGGCCAACGGAATTCTATCATTTTAACGCTGCCTGGTTACCACCAGACCTACTGGTAATCACATTTGTCTTTCAGATCAGAACGATTGTGTAAGGCCACTACGATCTTTGTGTAAGGATGGGAATTCCAATGCTAATGGCTTGGATTCGTTAGCAAACATTGCCCCTCTGTGGTACTTGTATGTTACTATCACAAGTTGTTGAGGACCGCCCAGGGAGTCTTGCTAGTATTTACCTCCGCTGACAGCGAAACGGGTCATTATTAGAGGCCTGCCGCTATTGGAATACAGGCCAATATTAGAGGATTTACGGTATTTTAGCCCTTCTTCCTGCTCTTGCCATATCAGCCATCTCCCGTAAATTTTCTGCACTGTAATGTCTGCGTTAGATAGAAGCTCACCTTCCCAACATCATGGGGTGCTGGTTGGAGAGCCACTGAGCAAGGCAGATTGTCCGGAAACTGAAAAGTAATAAACAGATTACTCTCAATTTCAAAAGGAGATATAATTTAGCTGCAAAGGCTGGTTCTGATTGGCTGTTCTGTCCTGGATCACCTCGAAGAAGAATGGGTAGGCATTGCTTCCTAGTTTGCGCAGAAGCTTTGCCTGCACCCTGGTGTGGATTCCCTTCTCACGGTCCTGCAGGGGTGGATATACTTGGCGGGTGGACAGGAACAGCTCCCTGCGGAAGGCTATTCCCATCACATCCATGTCATCTCGGCCGTAGCGAAAGATGCAAGACAGGGTGACAAACACTGTAGGGCAGAGCATACAGGCAGTTTAACTCCAGCAGACACGCCTAAAGTAAATATGCTTTCTGTCCACGAGAGTCTGGCTGATGAATTATAATTCAGGGGAATAACTTTGTCAGGCTGGGTTACATCGATGCCTAACAATGGAAACATGAACAGCATGTTTTGGTACCAACCTTTCCTCCCAGCCAGAGCCTCAGGATCAATGAGGACAACGCCATCTGTTGGTAAACAAAGAAAGAGCAAATATTCATGTTAAACATTGAGCAATAGTGAGCAATCAGAAGGTCTTTGACACTTCATGTGAACCTCTAAAACCAAGAGTTAATCTCAAAATTATTTTTTTTTGTGCTTCAGTAGAAAGACTCTCAGGTTGTAGTTTATATTTTCCCTACTGATAGCAGATAGAAACAGCTAAAGTTTGTTTTATTATAGAATTATATTTCTTTGCAACTAATGTTTCTGCAAAACATGTTTTTGAGATTGTCCATGTTAAAGTCAGTTGGATTCAGCCAGGGACTTTTGAGGAGTTATTAAAAAAAAAACTACAACGTTGGAGAACTAGATAAAAACAAAGAGATATCAACATGACACCACTGTTGTAATTTTCTATAAACCGCCCTATTAATCAAAATAACTTAAATTACAGTGATGATGAATGCATTGTGTGTTGAATAAATCCCCCAATTTATCCAAGAGAAAATAAACTAGTCTCTGTTTCATGATTTCCTTTAACCTTCTTGGGATATGTGCTGAATTCTCCATCATTGAGACTCACCCACTGGATCCACAGAATCGACGCGGTCCACAAAGTCTCTCTTCCCCATGAACACTCCCACCTGAAGCAAACAAAGGCCTTATTTTTTAAAGGGGCTGTTTGTATTTTGGCTTCATGGAAAAAATATGTAAAAAGCAAAAACCACAAATAATGAAGGAGAGTTATTCTTTCCATAGAAAGATTATTTCTATTAATAATTTCAGACAATAAAAAGTGCTCTGACTGTCTTTTTTTTCTCTGAAGATCAAGCGTTTGATTAATTTCCTATTGAAGTCGTTCTTTTCTACAATATCCACAAGACATCAACCGAATGGCAAATAAGGTTTTGTCTGTTTTTTTTGTTTTTTTTTCCTGGATGATAAAAACAGCTTCAATACATCACCACAGCTGAGAACCACTGCCTGGTAGGTCTACAGTAGTAGCAATTCAAAATTTCCCCACTTTTCTTGATTGGCCCTTAACTGGTCCCCTACAATTCTTTTTTTAATCATCAATCTTCTCACTAAAATATTCTTTGTGTCATGATTTCTGAACATTAAGATCTAAAGAGAATTCAGTGAAAGGTTGGAGTCAGAGTAAAAAAAAAAAAAAATACATGCCCAGAAGAAGGAGGGGGTCACTCCAGTGGCTGGGAGTTGGCTCTGCATGCTCATGATTTAAAAATACACTAATGATGATAAACTAGTTAAAAAAATTGAAAAACAATTCACTTTCCAACTTGGAAACCAAGTCCAGTGGATTGTTTTTAATGTTTTGGGAATAACTTTGACCTGGATGACTGAGAACCTTCACCAGATGATAAACTAAATAGATGGTAAATTAAAATATTTTTTTGTTTCAGGTTGCTGTCAGACTTTATTCTCTGTTTGTTTATTGTCCTCTGTTTCCAGGAAGAAAACAGGAAGAAAACTGTTCGGTCTACTTGAGAAATCCTGCAGTACAGTCATTGGAAAAGAACGTGTTCAGCCTTGCTCCCTGTTAGCGCCCACACCTCTTCTCAGAAAGAAGGTTTCTGAGCATTAAGGTTTGATCAGCTGAGACCAACAGGAACAGGCTTCTCTTCAGAGATTCCTCTGGAAGGAACTTTACCAACCAAAGACAAAATATCTTCACTGCTCAACATTTTATTTCTATTTATTGTTGATATGAGATAAAGTTCAGTCATCTGAAAAGTAACTTCTGTACCCATATATCAAGTACAGCAAATTTTTACATGGGTATTCTTACTTGTTTAAAAACATATTCTTAAACAAAATACTCAAAAGCAAAATGGCTTCTTAAGTGCTCATTGCAGCTCAATTACTGATTAAAATGATGTGATCATACAGAAAGGCACTGTATGAGCAAATGCTGGTAATTCACATAATAAGTAAGTAAATAAAAAAATACAAATATAATTACAAAATAAGAAATATCTCATAGCTTAGATTCCTTATTATTCAAGTATTTCTCATTATTATTCAAGTTGAATATGAAAAGCACAGTACATTTCTAAAATTTTAAAATTAAATGTGACCTGGTTCTGTCTCTGCAAAACAGATTTGGTCTGAGAGAGAAAAAGTGACGGTTTAGTTGATCCAGTCCTGTGATTATATTTCACTCACCGACTTGTCTTTGCAGGTCTTCTTGAAAATTATGTTTCTTGGACTCATGATGGTGAAGATGAATAAGCTGCTGCTAGAGGCCTGGGAAAAAAGACCAGACAGGAAGCCATTTTTATCTTTCAGACAGTCAGTTCTCTGAATCACCATCACATTCAAATATAACCATTGTACTGAATGAAGAAACCAAAGAAAACAAACAGTGGGTTCAGAGGTTCAAGCTAAACAGATTTTCAATGGCAGTGCTTATACATTCATAGTGGACTAAAGCTTTGGAAAAGCTCTTGTTTCGGCTTAAACTGGCTCCTAAAGGTGAACCATTGACCATTATGTTGTAACAAATTTGTAATAAACCTCCATTTTTTTTTCTGATAATAATTGAAATAAGATAGAAAATGTTTTATTTTACTGATTCCAGAAAAGGGAGTTACTGTATTTGAAATTTTTTTGCAATTTCGTATACCTTTCAACAGGTAATTTTTACTGTTACTTTTATAGCTAATTTATTGTAATTTTATTAACAATTCTCTTTTTAGTCCCAATTCTGTTTGGTACATATTTCTTATCTTTGATGCAGTAACTGCTGCAAAGCACTTTGGTCAGCTTAGGTTGTTTTTTCATATTCTATAAATGTACAATTTAGATTTAAATTTGAGTCCCTGGGATTTTCTGCTTGCACAGTTTTCCTCCACATGACGGCAGCAGATCCGGTCTTCGATTATACCATTGATTAGTGTATTTTAGAAACTCTCATCCAGTCAGTTTATTTTCTCATGGAAGGTTCTGTTGGGTCAACTAAGAGTGTCATACACATGGTGCTCTCACAATAATGGTAATCACAGCCTGTTTCAAAGGGAGGCCATGTTGGAATCCATTTCTTCTTGATGTTGAGTTTTAACAGCCACTGCTTCTCTTTGGAGCTTATATGGATTTCTTGATAAAAATAAATAGTTGAGTTAATTGAATTAAATTTGCCTGGAGATGTGAGCAGACTTGAGCCCATGAGCCTCATAATCCTGTTAAATCCCTCTTAGACTGTGTTCACTGATCTAAACCACAACTTTGATTGTTGTTAACACAAAACAATGAACAGCAGTTTCTGTACAGTAGAAAAACAGATCAAACCAAGGCACAGAAATGTTAGCAAATTATAACAGAAAATATGCATAAAGTAAAATGAAACATTAAGAAGACTAAAGTTAAAGAGAAACAAAAAAGAACAGTTAACACTGCTTCAAATGTCACTGAGCTAAACTATGTTATAACAGAGACTTAAAGAAATGCAAGAGAAATAGCCTGTGGAATATTTTATGGCAAGCTGTTCCAGAAATCTGGAGCCCCTCCTAAAAAGAACAGACCTCTTAAAGCTTGGCTTAGTTTTTCCTTTAGGTATAATCAACAGAGGTGGATCAGATGACCTAAGGTCTCCCAGGGAAACTTACAACCAAGATAGACAGAGAAGTGTGAAGGAGAAAGATCATAAATGTAAAAGAGGAGGTTTTTAAAATACGCTCTTTGGCAAACTTGCTCCATATGACAGAAGTGGAGAGACAATCAAAATATGAGCACCAGTTCTGATGGAGCCAAAGACATCAAAGAGAAGCCTTACGATAATAATCTAGTGGAGTTGTGCTTAAAAGATTGTGGATTAATGCCCCCAGGTCACCTTCTGACACACACCAGGAAACCTTCTCCTTAAACGCAGCTGACTGAGATTTATACCAGTTGGCTAAGAAATTATTACATCAAGATTTTGGAGCAAATTCTGAATTGCTCTAAAGATTGATTCAATAAATAACATTTCAATGACATCAGTGACAAGATTTTAAGAAACTAACTGAGTTTTCCTACAGTTTTATCATGAGTATTATGTTTGAACCATTATTTTATTTGTGAGCCTCTGAAAACATAAAGCCTTGTGCAGAATAAAACATTACAAATATATCTATGATCTGAATCTGTGTCGCTGTGTCAAAGATGGAGATTAGATAATTTCTCCTCCTATGCTTCCCCCTCCCAATCTTCACCTACAGTAAACAGATGAAAGTGTGATACAGTAAAGCTGGAGGTGTTGGTGGGATAGGAGGTACTCACCTGTGCTGTAGAGCTGCTGAATGAGAGGAGGAGACAGGTGCTAGTCCAACCAGCTCTATATGTAAACACCTGCTGTCTTTCATGGCTCCTTCAGCCAATCAGAAAGACTCTGCTGTGAACTTTGTCCTCCTCCTCACAGCTAAACATGCAGGCAGCCAGACTTCCTGTGACTGAGCCCTCTGAGAGGATTGGAGCTGGTTCCACCTCCGTCAGCATAACTGGGACAGATTAGAGAGACATGAGGGGAACGTTGATGTGGAACATCTGACCTAAGCTCTGCCTTTATCCCCCACAGCTCGCTGCTTTCTCTTTATTCATCCTGACACTTCACAGACATGTGGGTCCAACCAGGAACCTCTATGCAACCAAAAAGATGTGTATTTTCTCAACCTTTACCTGGCAGCATACAGTGCTCCATAAAACTATTCGTACCACGTGAACTTTCTACAAATTTTGCATCATGTGCTTAATTTGGGGGCTTTATTGGTTAAATAAAGCCCTGATAACGAAAATAAAATTAATACTTATTTAAAAAAAATACTACAGCGTGCGCTGGGACAGAATTGGCTCCTCCAAGTCTGAGGCCATGGTCCTCGACCGGAAAAAGGTGGCTTGTCCCCTTCAGTTTGGAGGAGAGTCCCTGCCTCAAGTGGAGGAGTTCAAGTATCTTGGGGTCCTGTTCACGAGTGAGGGAAGAATGGAGCAGGAGATTGATAGGTGGATGCAGCTGCTGCAATAATGCGGACGCTGCACCGGTCTGTCGTGGTGAAGAGAGAGCTGAGCGAAAAGGCAAAGCT